CGGTGGGTGCGGCTGCTGCCCGGTGAGGAAATATCTGCCTGAAATTACAATGGGCTTTAATGGACGACACTGTGAAACGTTTTTGTCACTTCATGACCCTCAACCGAGGCCACTTTGTTCTAATTATTTTTGCTTAATTATTTGTCATTTTTTCCAAGCTACGGGATGTTTTCTACGTGTTTGTCATGAACAATTATGGTCTCAGGAATGTAGGGTCTTGGGAATTTATGCAAGGTTTTAAAAAATATATGAAGGCACATTTCAAACTGTCCTCCGCTCTAACTCTGACATACACGCAACTCTGCCTTAACCGAGGCTGCGCAATGTTTAAAGCTTCAAATGTTGAAAAATGTGAACATGAATTATGGATGTATCGTCTGGAATTAATGGGAAATTATGCGAATGCAGAAAAAGTAATAGCATCGATTCCCGACCGAGCTGAACGTTTTGATGATTTGAAACGGAGTTTGTCTGCGATGTTCAATGCGGGAGAAGCAAGCGCGGCAAATAAGGTCGGCGGAATAATAAACTTTCCGTGAGTAGAAGAACCAATTAGTTGGAATGGCTGTTCAACAGCATTCCCCACCTAAATAAATAATGAGAGATTTTTGAGAAAACCAAATGCATATTAAGGCCTTATCGTCCCACTTTTTGGAGACATCGTCCACCCTCTCAGTCATCTGTATCTGAGTAGCGGGGACATTTTAAACTCTTCAGGCCAACTTCCAAATCACAACCCCCTACCGCACATCCACCTCCGTGAGCGGAGTGACTCTGTGGTGGAGTGACACCGCAGCTGAACGAGGCTCCCTCGAGGTTGAGGGAGTAACACCAGCGGCAAGCTTTGGGACGAAACTCCCCTCTCTTCCCGGCAGAAACAGGAAATCCCGTAACTGTATGTAACAACGGTTTCAAATCAGCATCTCTCAGCCAAAAAATTTAAATGAATAACTAAAATAAAACTCCAAACATCTTTCATTGTGTTAATACCTGATGTTTCTAAGATTCTTAGTTTTTGCAACAGCCTGTAAATATACACAACTTTATAATAAAATGCATAGGTATGACTAAACACAGGTATGATCCTAAGTTAAAAAAAGATAAGGTTATCATGAGGTTGATAACATCGCAATTTATCAGTGGACGTTTGCAGGAACTGTTTGTAAACAGCGTGTTTCCTGACGGACACACACAGCATTGAGTCTGGTCAGGTAGAGCAGCAGGTGAAGTCAGCACCGATGCAGACTTGCTGTTTGAGGGCTTGGTAACCCACTCCCCCTCCACACTCGTTGGTTTGGAACAGCACTTAATATGGCAGACCCTCTGCGCGAACTGAGGGGTAGTGTGTAGGGGTAGGGTGTAGGGGGTGGATTGGAATTGGGCCTTAATCTGCCCTCATGTCATCTTCACCCAAAATGTATCAATACTGTGTACCACTGTGCTTTACGTTTTATTACTGGATGTGGATATCGGGTACACACCATTGCACTTTATATGCTGCTGCTAATTGGCCATCTTTCAGACTTTTCCACTGGTTGGGTCTATATGGCCTGCGCTCCCAAGATTTTATTCAGATACTGGTTCCTAAAGTAAGAACAGAAGTGGGTAAATCAGCTTTTAAATATGCTGCCCCCACAGCTTAGAATAATGTACAGACGGAGCTGAAACAGTCAGATTTGATCATTATGGGGGAATTCGAGTCCATCTTAAAAGGGCAGAGAACAAGACACCAAGCACTCACAACAAGCACAACACTCACACAAGCACTCACACCTACCAAGGTAGGTGTGAGTGCTCGTATATCCTAAAATTGAAGTAGTTTTAAAGTTTGCCAGTTTTTAATGATTTTTAATGGTTTCTTTTATGTTACATATTTGACTGGCTAATGTGCCATTTGTGTTTTACAGCTGTATTTGTCTGTGTTTTATCTTTTGTAACTTTGTTCATGCTGCCCTTCTTGGCCAGGTCACTCTTGTAAAAGAGATTTTAATCTCAATGAGTTATTTTACCTGGTTAAATAAAGGATATATATATATATATATATATAAAATGGGTAAAACTGTTCACAATAATGTTTTACAATAACCTCAAGTTTTAAATGTGATAGATCCTACATTTTAAAACGCATGGAGACAACAGAAAAATGTTGGCAGCATCTTGAGAGATCACAGTTGTGGGTGGTGGCAAAAAATATAACTTTTTTTATCTGGTTTTGTTGTCTCCTTCTCATATTTAGGAAACGTGGTGTTATAGTAAAGCTAAGTGTGTACATTTGTTTAGAAAAGTACAATATTAATCATATTTATAAATCATATGATAGGGTGGATGCTTCTTTAACCCATGTAGATTCCTAATGCTCACCTTTGGTTCTTCAACATCTTCTTCTGTGTCCTCTCCCTCCGTCAGGGCCTTCCTTTTGGAAGGTACGACTAAACTGTCAAATGAAGCCCTGCAGGACACAAATAATCTGAGATACATTCCAAGATACTTTGCCACATTAATGCACAACACCCACATTTTAGCACTGACGATAACAAAGCAAAACGTCTAAGCAAGCAGGACAAACATATAAAAATACTTTAAAGAAAATGAGGAGGGCTGTTGTGTGTGAGTGAGTGAATACAATATGATCAATGTGCATAAATGCATTATCAGATCAAACAAAAACCTTAAAAAGGCTTGGATAGGCAGCTACTCTGTCTCGTGTTTTGTGTTATTCATGCCATTAAAACCATTTGTAAATTAAATGAACTAACTCTTATGCTTACAACTGCACCCCTAATTTATTATTTCTATTGTTACTAACCTGTTCGCCAGGATTTTGTTCAAACCGTTTTTGATCATAGCTTACCTGCATGTCTCTCTTGTCTCCTCGATTTCTTTTAGTTCATCTTTGCTGTTTAAGACAGCTCCGATGCTGTCTGCACTTTCAGCTCCCAACTGGGGTTAGAGAAAAAGGAGAAAGTCATTCATTTATGTCCTTTATTATAAAATGCATTGTTTTGCTCAGAGTTGTCTCTCAACATGTTACTGCTTTTGTGTAGCAGCAGCTTCAACAACTTCCTTAAAGTAAAGTTGTATTTTATCTAACATAATTTTCATTATAGTCTGACTACTATATCTGCAACAATAGCTTAACATATAGATACAATTAATTAACATTCAATGTTTCAGGGATGTTATTTATGCCTGGAGTCCACTCGATGGCGAACAATGTAAATGCGGAGATAACTCAGCTATGTTATCTTCCCTTGTGCATGTATTGGTGCCACATGGCTCTTTCCTTGTTCACCACGTTTTCAAAAATGCGTAATTTAAACAACATGTTGTGATCTAGCAGCTCCATAGATAGTCAACAGATACCATTATAGCTTCAGTTAGATTACTTGTGAACTATTAGCTAAAATTACATGCTAACATCACCAAGAGGCTCCACTTGCCTGTTGAGCTAAAAGCTCGCGTCTACGTTTTTGTTTCTCGCGAATCTCTTGCAGTCGACTGTTCATTTTCTTCACTTTGTATAGTTTCTAATTAACTATCAACCACATTTGCTCGTTGATACACACAGTTAAAGTTGATTAGCAAGCTATTATGGTAGCCAACAATCGGCCAATGTGTAATAGCCGCTAAAAAAATAACAATGGGTGCACTCGTTATGGTCCCCGGGACGCTCCGGTTTGTCACTGCCTTGGTGTACACCCGAGAGCAAGCAGCTAAAATAAGGCATTAAAGACATCTGGGAGTGGCTGTTGCCTTGCGTTTTATACTGAAGCGTTTATTTTGTATACGGTGCTGGCAGTCCACTTTCATTGCGTCATTTTGGTTAACCGACAAACGCTATTTATCCAGTGCCGACTCCGTCAACCCACTTACGGCGTACGCCGTTCAACATTAGGAGTGAACACTTTTGTGATCGAATGGATGCTGCGTGATGATGTCACCCGGTAGGACGCTTCTGTTTGACGTTTACTGATCCCTCCTCCAATCAGAGGATACTATACTGTAGACGCTGGAGGCGCTATTTAGTCAATTCCACCCTGTCATCACTACTCAGGGAGAGAGCAGTTCAAGCAAAATCATGCAATCCAGTACCGCTCTGCCTCTGCGCCAAACTGCAGCATCTCTCAGATAGTGTGCTTCACTAATGTGGCCACAACAAGAAGATCCTTAAAAAATAGTTAATTGTAAATGCTTTTTACTTGCCAGGCTTAAGTAAATATGGATACTAAATAGCCTAGGTTAAATATGGTGTTGGAATTGCTTAAACTTATGATGAGAATCAGAAGTGTAATGCATACGCCAGAATAAACTGTTAACACATCTTTTAGTTCATTTTCGCTTTGTTTCAACAATTGCAAGTGTCCTTTTAATGTGTTGGGAGCATGTATACCATGGCACGGTTTAGACATGGCCCGGCTAATATTTGCAATATTTGAATTTGCTTGTGATACTATAAACATGATTACAGATTTTGTATTAGAGATCATAGGCCTACAATTGCCAAATATAATAAAATGGTGTCAAATCGCAGTAGGCCTATGGGGGAAATTACTTCGATTATACGTTATTGGATGTTCGTTGGGGGGCAATCTGCCCATTAGCCCACGCAAATCTGAGTTTCATTGATCGGCGTCGTTTCTCCTTTCCCGGTTCACACTCTCGTCCCACCGCAAAGCGATGAGCCTGACTGGAAATCGCCTCCTCAGCTGATGATAGGAGCGATTGATGATAGAAGGCGCTGTCTTCGCCTCCTTGCAGCCAGAGACCTACCATGAATTTGACATTTCTTGCTCTAACAGCCGCACTTTTGGCTGCGAATAGCGGCTTCTGTTATTCTAGCAGCGTCCCGTCATTCATCCTGCCGTTTACTGACTGCGTGCAGAGCCGTGGGAAAGACGGTTTCTACCGGGGAGCGATAGACGTCACCGAGTCCGGCACCCGGTGTATGAACTGGACAGAAGTGGCCGGCTTCAAGGAGCGCTACCCTGGCAAAGGAGTTGGAGAGCATAACCACTGCCGCAACCCGGACGGCAGGATCCGACCCTGGTGCTTTTTTAGGAACCACAAAGGCAGAGCTGACTGGGGCTATTGCGACTGTAAACAAGGTAAACACGAAGACCCATACACAGACAGCAATACCTATTTTGGGGAGATTCATAATCTGTATGAATATGTCAACAACATTATGAATTTATATAAACTGAAATTTGACAAAATTAAATGAAATGAATGATAATCTAAAAAATAATACAGGCGGCCCAATATCTAGAAAGTCGCTTTAACTTATAACATGCTAAGATAAGATGTAGATATTATAGGACATTATTAATATGAATTTGGGCTGATGAAAAGCAGTTTTTTTGTTTTACCTCTGTGTGCAAGAATGTTCTAGCTCAATTGTGTTCAACTCAGGAAGCCCATGCTGAAGTAATTAGACAGGACACACCTTCAGTGTCCCAGGTGTGAGAGCAGTCTATGCAGATGGCAAGTCTAAGCACATTTGTGTTGTAATGAGTGCACAGGTATTTGCTTATATGGGGTGTTTGGGAATAACACAGTCCAAAGGATCACAACAAGCAAGTGAGTCAATACACTGTCTCTTACCATATTAAAAATAGTTTGACATGGGGAACACCACATTATCCAAACCTATGAAGTACACAGGCTTGAGCCAATTAGTGTTGCTAAAAAGAAAAGTGAGGGCAAAGAGGACTCTACATCTCTGGACTGATGAAAGGGAGAGAAGTATGGTATAGAGTAGTGAAAGGAAGAGTGTGATATCCATCTGGCACACGAGAAGCAGCCTGTGGTATTTTTAGTCATGTAGTGTGTTGGCACATCATGAATAAATCCTCTTCCTGTAATTGATACATGGAATTGATGTATTGATCCAGTTATGTAAGATGTTTGAACAATTGCACACCTTATATTTGGAGTCCAGATTATTTTTGTTCTGACTGCATGTAAGGAAAAGACTGACTCCCCTATGCATGTGTGTTTGAAAATGTACCCTTTCATTCTCTGTTGTCCTAATAACCTACATAATGTGTATGTAAAAATAGATATGCGCAAAGCATTCAAGTTACTCGATCAACAAACAACCTGCACGGAAGGAAAAAGTCTATGAGGAAAATCTGTACACTTTAGGCAACATCTGTTAAACACTCAATCCCAAATCCTGTTGCACCATGCGTGTTTGAGGACAAAAGACGGACAGAAGGACATAGTCAAACAGTGTTATAGTGTATTTTAACAACAGTTAAAATGAAGTGTTTTCTTTATATAGACTGGTTGTGATGTGTCGACTCACACAACATGTTATGTTAATGGATATCATGAACTGATGTAAAATGACTTTTTAAATGCAGCCCTTTTGACACAGGCAGATTGATTGGATCATTTATAACACAGTTGAATACGCCTGTTTGATCCCCTGTCATCATGACCAAATCAAACAAAGCCTTCTGTTTTTCTTTTGTCTCTTTTTTTTAACATTTTCATTTAGGGCTTGACAATATATCAACGTAATATTGATAAAGTGTTATGAAAATAGTTATTGTTTGAGATTTTGATATCATTGTAACTTAACATAAGTTGTTTTTTTCCCTAAATTGTGTAATTTTTTGAACTTGACAGAATTGCCGTTCTGTTATTTGCGTTTACCTTCAAAGTCAATGCATCCACATCAATCCTAATTCATTCTAAGAAATATAATTGTGTAAATATTTGTGTGGAAGCACCAATAGCCAACCCTACAGTGTTGTCAGAATACGCTGTACTAATATTCTGTTCTCCAACTCTCTTTCCATCCCAGGCTCTGTGCGTTTGCAAGGAGGCCGCACCAAGCTAGATGGCAGGGTCGAAATGTATCTTGGAGGAGTGTGGGGGTCTGTCTGTAGCGATGACTGGGGGGACGAAGACGCTGCAGTGGTTTGCAGACAGCTGGGCAAGGGGTGAGAGAGAACCCTAGCACACACATGCGCTCAGACGTGGATTATTGGCTGGCCTCTGTCTGCCTCCCCCGCTTACATATATTTTTTTAGACACAGGTGCCAGTACAATCACCATCTGCCACATAAATTCACATGTGAAGCTGCCTACAGAGATTTGACATATGATAAGAGTGTGATAGAAATCTGGTGGGAATGCTAGAACATTTCCCCACAACCTAGACATACACATGCACTCTCTTCACAGTCCTTGTACCTTTCTTATGTGACCCTTGCATTCCAACCCCCCATTCTCCAGCAGTATTTAAATACCTTCAGTGCTCAGCTATTTACCTTGTTACCAGCTCTCTGTGTTACTCTCTTGACTGTGTCTTATGGTCTTGAATTTAAAGGTGCTTTCATGCTAGAAAAGACACTGACTTGTCGGGTCTCCAGGGAGAACGTAGACAGATCATACATATTGACAGTGTTAATAAACTGGGGTCAGTTTCTCAATTCAGAAAGCGTCTTATTTCCCAGGAGAACAGAGACCTTCTGTGCACTTACTACACATGTTGACACTAACTCCAACACTGGCACGCATGCTGACATGAACACATGCCTGTGTGTGCATATTCACACAGGAGTCAATGAAAGTCCACAGCGGAAAGGGAAAGGGGCAAATGTCAGCCATATGTCAGCTGGAATCGTTGGTGATGACTTTCACGTGGCCAGTTATTGAAGCTGTTTTGAGTAAAACTGCTGACCGCATTGGCCCTCCAATGGCAGATCATGAACATACTTATGGCTCAAGGTTACTGCTACCATGTAAACATGTCTGTTGTACTTTTTCTTCTAAGATGGGCTGCCTGAGCCTGGCTGCAGCAATTACCTCAGGTGACTTAAAAATAAGGGCCAAAATACCCTAATTAGGTTACATTTCTCCGGAAAAAAACTCTCATACGATAAAACGGTTCAACGTCACTTGTCGGTTAAAAAACTTATTTCAGATAAGTTAAACTTTGTTGTTTACTTTCTACATCTCCTTCCAGGATCTCAGGTCGTGCACGTGCAGTTCCCCTGTTTCATCCAAGCATGGCCAAACTCCATTGGAGGGCAGTCCATTGCCAGGGAGAGGAGTCAGACCTGCTCCAGTGTCCTAAGACTGTGTGGAATGGAGGGGAATGTAATCTGGCTGCAGCCATCACTTGCACACAGCAGCAAGGTAGGCACTCCTCATTCGGAATTGTAGGCCTATGATGGATGGAGTCTATGGATGTGATGAGATCTCTGATAAATCAATAAACCTTCAACATTTCTACAACTCCTACTCAATTCTAACTTTCCTCATGTTTGTACTTTAAAATGGCAAAAGTCCTGACATTTTTGTTACTTTGCCTAGTAGTGAAAATGTGTGTTTTAAATGCTTGTGTGGGCTCCAGCAGAAGTGGCGCTCCCTATAAGGCTGGTGGGAGGTGCATCGGGGTCAGAGGGCACAGTGGAGGTCTTCCATGCGGGGCAGTGGGGGTCCATATGTGACGACCAATGGGATGACAGTGATGCAGAGGTGGTGTGTCGACAACTGGGGCTGAGGTGAAGGGGCAAACACAAACACACACACACACAAATTAGTGCCCATCCTCACATGAATTCCAACCAGTAATTAGCATAAAGGAAATACATTATGTATGGGAAAAAGAGTCAAATGTGTGAGAGAAAAATAGACTTGGAGGCTGAGATAAATGAATGTGGGTGTCCAGCCGTCAGTCTCTCTCTCTGTCTCCAAAAGTATGAAAAGTATGAAAAGTATTCTTTCCATTTGGACACACACAGAGAGGAGCTAGCAGTAAAGCACATCTGGGGTCAGATAATGAATCAGGCTCATTGTTCCTGCATGAATTCTAGTACCACTGAGATATGCATATTTAGCAACGCTACACACTCTTCAAATCTTGATGTGTGCACTTTTTGTCTATGCCAATGTGGTGTTGGTGTTGCAATGTCTCTGGATATGCATGGCAAGCATCTAAAAAATGTACAATAGCTTTATTTCATCCAATTTCCAAATCAAACTAGAACAGCATCCTTCAAGGCATCCTATGCAAAATGCACTTTTTGATGTATTTTATACATACATATGTGTCCCCGGTGCGTCAGGGAACTCACAAAGTGTCAGAAAATAAAACCCTCTCTCTTTTCCTCCGTACCTAAACGGGGGTACAACGGAGCTGATCCAGATTTGCTGCCGATATGCCGTAATATCGGAAATGTGGGCTGGCTTTACACCCAGGGCCCTATCAGAAACGTTGCTATAGGAATAAATGCAATGCCTGACGTGTTTTGGAAGTAATATGGTCTTTAATTACATTAGCAAGCATCGCTAACACTCAGAGCTAACGCAGTACTGGAGAGTATGTGTAAAAAAGCAGGAAATTAAAAAGGGAACTCACATTGTAGTAAACCCGCAAGAGAAGAAGCATTTGAGCTCCATACTTTTTCAGAAATAATCCTTGAATTGGTTTGGAACATGATATGGCGTTTAATCACATGATAGGAAATTAGGAGATCTTTAAAGTCAGTAAGGGTGAATCAGTGGATCTGTTTTTAAATGTATCAAAATAACTGCAAACCAAACTTTCTATTATTCTGTCCTTTTTTTATGTAGCGGTGTAGCGAGGGCATGGGGCCAGGGACATTTTGGCAAGGGTTCAGGCCGTGTGCTGCTGGATGAGGTACGATGCACAGGCAATGAGCTCACTCTGGAGCAGTGTCCAAAAAGTGCCTGGGGGGAACACAACTGTCAGCACTCTGAGGATGCAGGAGTGTCCTGCAACCCTCTTACAGGTAGAACACCACCTGACACAGCATTAGCAGTCAATGCTATTCAAATATGTTCACATATAGAGATATAAAAGCCAAACCAGGATATTTGATGTCATTGGGGCAGAAGGGCTTGGATGTACTCTCTGGGGCTTGGATGTATGGGGCAACTCTCTGTTTTTCTCTTTCTCTTCAGATGGCTCTCTTAGGTTGGTTGGGGGCGCAACCAGCTATGAGGGACGTTTAGAAGTATTTTACCGTGGCCGGTGGGGGACAGTGTGTGATGACGGCTGGACAGACTCTAACACACAAGTAGTGTGCCGACAACTTGGTTACAGGTAATGTGAAGTATTCATGTTGTCGTACACATGCATCAATCTCAGTACTATTAATAAGTTAGAATAAAATTGTGTTTGTGTGTGCACATGTCTACCTTGCAGATTAGGTGAGACTCTCCTTTCCGAAGGATTAGACATCACTCCAGTCCCGCGCTTCGGGGTGGGGTCAGGTCCCATTCTCTTGGATGATGTGAGCTGCACAGGGAAAGAACCAAGCATATTAGTGTGCAACAGGAACGAGTGGCTCCAGCACGACTGCACACATCATGAAGATGTTAACATCGCTTGCAGCCCTGGTCGCAATGGAGAGAGTCTTCCAATGAGTAAGACAGAATCTTATCTTACTGTAAGACTTATAGGCTAAGATGGCATCGAATGGGGGAAAGAGGCTCAATGTTACTTTTACTATGTTGTTGGATACTGATATAAAGGACATAATGTATGTGCAGATTTAGTTTGTCACAGCTTGGCACTTTGCACAAAGAGCACACATACTCTTTTGTCAGTGGAAAAGGAAAGCGAATCATGAAAGCTTCTATGTAATTTCCTGCCACTTCATAAAACCTGATAATGGAAGTGCAAGCTGAAATCTGTTTCTAAGATCTCTGCCAAACTCAACCTGCACTTAATTTGATCTCATCTTACTTAGAAGAGGAAAGCCAACCTGCTCCAAGAGAGGGATAGAGGATGATGTAAGTCATGCTTACGTTTAAAGGCACAGCTGTTAGTTGGTGTGTCCTGCCTTATTAACTGGGCAGCTTGTAAAGTCGTCATGCTTAATGGATCTACTGCAAGCCTTTACCTAAAGTAAATCACCCTGATGTAAAATTCTTCACTATTTTTAACTGCAAAATCATATTGGCCACCAGTGGGTTGATGTATTGCCAGACACACATAACACTGAACTACTTCCTCTTTATTAGAGGAGACAGAAGGGTTCAGTGGTTTTTGCTGAAAGGGGAAGAAAGGGTTGAATGGTAGGACCATTAATCAAGCTGTGTCTATAGCCTCTAGACAGCAATAACGATGTAAACGCATAGCGCTGGATAGAACTACTAGTGGCTCAGATTTCCCCTCATACTATATATAACTGTTTCATTCTCTGTCATCCATCTTAATGTTGAATGTAATAGATACGAGTCTGGTGAATGTCACAGAGAGGATACATCATGTTTTTTTTAAGTGATGAAAAGTTGCAGTTAGGTAGCTTATGTTTTTTGGCCAGAGCCTCAGAGACACTGGCACCTGACAATTACCACTGAATAATTGTGTTATTACTACAAATAATTTGTGTGTATTTGTTTATGTGTGTACCAAATCCTTCCTTCCCGCTCAACTAAAACAAGCAGATTGGTTTATGTTGTTTTGGGAAAAGGAGAAAAAGCAGATAAGCCCGTCTGTGCTTTGAACATCCCCCCCCCTCCCCACTACTCCTCTCTCTCCTTCTCTCTCTCTTTCACTATTTTCTAAGAGACCATCTTGTATGTATTGTAACAGAGCAGCAATGCTGAGAGAGTTCAGAGATAAAAACAGTGTTTGTAGTTCTAAGATAGAGGACAAAAATGAGCATTTCCTCAACTGCCAACCCCGACAAACAAGTAAACATTCCCACATTTAACTCTCATTACCTTAATGACCCACTCCTATAACTCCTACACGCACAGTGTTCAAAGGCAGTATATTATTTAACTCACTACAGCCACAGAGAACATTTTAAGGCTAAATTGAAGACTGCTGAAGTTGTGTAATGAAAATGAAGTTTTGAGCTACAAAACAAAAGCACCTTTATTTTCCATAGCATAAAATGACTTGGTCAGGTTGTAAACTGATCCTGAAAGGGTCCACACATGGAAAATACATTAGCATCCCATAAATTACATTAGTGTGTGTTTGTGTGTATCTGTGGGCAGACCATGATGATAGATGATTTAAACTTAAATACCAGACTTATTTGATTAACACAAGCGAATAGCATTTAAGAGACAAATACAAGAGGGGGAGACTGTGAAAAAACAGAAAGGCAAGGAAAAGAAAGGATCTGTTTATAGAGTCAGACGTTTAAAAATGTCCCCTTCTGGACACACAAGTTGTTACGCATGCAAACAGACAGGTGTTCAAGTTACTTCCTTTGTAGGGGACATGAGCACATGCCCCACTCAGTTTTGATAAGGAAGGTGTGTAGTGTCTGTATTATTTATTGAGTCAGGGGTTTTGGGGAACTTCAGAAATATTGTTTAGCAGGGCAACTCTGTTTAGTGATTCTGAATTGTGCTTGTGTGTTCTTCAGGTATGCCGGTAAGACTAGTGGGAGGAGAGAGTCCTAAGGAAGGTCGGGTGGAGCTCTATCTGTCCGGGCAATGGGGGACCGTTTGTGATGACGGATGGACTGACCATGACGCTGAGGTGGTATGCCGGCAGATGGGATACAGGTATGTACTGTATATGTGCATCTGTGTTTGATTTGCCATTTTAAGAGTCTTGTGTTTCTGGGTAACAAACTCCAACAAGCACAACAACTTGCATGGACCATGAGCTAATAGAATGCCATACTCAAACAAAACAGGTTTTTTTTATGCACTCATTTATGTAGGTTCATTTGGGAAGTGTAGAAATTACCATTGAGGTTTAAAGAGAGGAAAGCATTTCACAGCAGCATCCAACTATTTTGTTCATTATGGATTAACTATCGATAATCTGTCCATTAGGAATTTTGCAAATACATTTTCAGAATTTTGCTGGAAAACTAAAATGATAAAAGTTAGTTGACAGTTCATTTTAGTCATGGAATGTTGGAATACAGTTAACATTTTGAGAGGCTCAGTTGAGAGCTGTGGCATTGCAATGTGATCACTCTATACATTACACACACTTAAGTGAAGCCAGACGGCCTACTCTGTTTGCAAAATCAATCTCAACTTCTCAGAATTGGCATCTGTCTTACACCTGCCCCCCATTACTTTGTCTGCCGTTCATCCTTCCAACTCTTTCAACCCTTGACTGTTTTGAGTTAGAAACTCATCAAGCATGTCTGGAGTTTCCAAGCACCCCTGCAATGGAAAAAGTTAAACTATATGCTTTAAATCATTACATTAATTATCTTATTCTTATATTACTATATCTATCATTATATTTCATTAATCCATCTTAACAAATGTTACGCTCAAGTTTCAGAGCACTTGTGCAGAGCCGCCTCTGGTGTGCTGCCAGCTGCTTTTATTAGGGGTTTAAGCTGTGCTCTTTTGCAGAGCCAAGATACACATCCAATTAAAGGGCAGGCCAATTGTGCATGACACATTCACGGTGACAGATATGTTGAGGCCAAGCTACCTCATCTCATCCTCTCTGTGTCCCATTATGCCTTCCCTCTGAGACACTGTCGCATTTTCCAAAACAATGGCAATGAGGTGGCAAGGGAAAACTGTACCGTAACAAACTGTCTTCAATTTATCTCTCATCACTGCTCAGCATGACGCTTATCCCTTAGCCATCCACTTTTCTGTGACACATTGCATGTAGATGAAAGCCACATCTGGAGTGCATAAGCATGAGAGAGAAATGAAGCGTGTTAGAGGCGTGTAAAAGTCATGTTAGGATCATCATTCTGTCTCACACAGGGTGTGGTGAAAGGTCATTACACACACAGCAGGTCCCCAAGGGTGAGAGGTTGCTCTGGGAGTGATAAAAGAAAGTATGCATTAATACACAGAGACTTTCACACAAATGATTTTCAAGTTCAACTGTCACATTAAAGAAGGACCAACATTTAACTGGAAAACACAAAGGAAAACGTTTCCAGCATAATACATACAAATATATTTTGGGAAAAAAATTCAGGGCCAAAATAGAGCGTACTAAAACATACCATTAACTTGGAAACTGATTTAAAGGCAAAAGGTTTGCTTGTTTGTAACCAATTATTTTGTATATCTGCAAATGTAAAAAAAAGGCAAAGCTGAAAATGTATTTATGAAGCAAAAGTATATGTCATTTATACTAAGGTAATTTCAAAGTGCTTATACACTTACACTCAAAAATGAATTTAAAACAAAATCAAATCTAATCATAATAAAAAAACAATAATATATACATAACTACAGGGCAACAGAATTGGGTTTTATTGTAAGCCTTTAAAATCACATTGTGAAGATGTTGCCATGCGACAAAAAAGGTTACAGAGGCTAATCTTTTCTTTCATCCTCCCTTGCGATATTTAGAACAGATCCAACAAAATGCAGCCAAGTAAATAAATACTATCCATTCAACATTTTAAAGATGCAAACACGAAATATAATATCTGAGAAAACTTTTGACTTCTCTTTTTAACTTGATCTTTTAATATCCGAAGCAGATTGTGTGACATTTTTTGACTGATGCTGTGTTTCCAAAGAAACACACCAAGCAGGTTCAATGTCAGGATCTAGGCTCGGTTCCAAGTGAGTTGGAGGTTCGCCCTTTGCATGCTAAATACCGCTCAGGGAGCTATTGGAGTCACAGACACAATTCTTTAGATGTCTCAATAAGAGACATGAGATTCCCTTTGGACAATTTGGGATACAAGACCTGCCACCTATCATACCCCGGGACGCAACACAAGATCCTCCCTGTCTGTAATCTATCAGTCTTAATTAAAATCCCAGCTACAGCCTATACAGGCCTACATACACACACACACAACCTATAGGCCTCTTTGTGCTAGCTGTTTGACAATTAAAGTCAGAGGTGAGAAATTGATACAAATACTGTTATCAGATTGTAAAAGTGGTTTGACCCGGTGTGCGTCACTGCCAGAGAATGTCAGACCATAACATCTATACTAACATGTCATCACCGCCTATCTGATAATACACACACACACACACACACACACACACACACACACACACACACACACACACACACACAGACAGACATACAAACTCTCTCTCACTCACACAGACACACTCCCTCTCACACACACACACACACACATTGACAGCAAGATCTGGCAGCCAAGCATTTAACCTTTCAATGTTAGTGGAACATTGCTACATTTACAATTCTGACATGGGCTGTTGCTTATTTGGAAATGGTCCAAAGTGCTACAATTCGCCTTCTAACAAAAACAAAGTGCAGGGAGAGCATTACTCCAGTTTCATCTCTTTCCTTTGCCCACTGGTGAAGCCTACAATGTATCATAATTGATGTATTACTTTTCTATGTGAAACCTGATTACATTGTTTGAATTGTTGAGTCCTTATAGGTCTCTCAGGTTGGCAAACCAGGGTCTAGATGTTCAGAGCTAAGTTTAAAATGATGGGAGAGCAAGCATTTGAAGTCAAAGCCCTACATTTTGGAGTTTGGAATAGTTTACCTCTTTCTCTTTTTTGAAAAGCTTCTCATGACGTTTATTTGCTTGCTTCCTGTCTTTTTTGTATTTAATGCTCCTATTATGAAACTTAGTTTTTTACCTCAAGCCTACAGTAAATACTAGTAGCATTTATTAAGCAATGGCAACTAAATCTGTGTGTGTTTTGTTTCCCTGCTATTTACCACAGTGGGGTGGCAAAGGCCCGTGTGATGGCGTACTTCGGGGAAGGGACAGGACCGATCCACGTGGACAATGTGAAGTGCAGCGGCGAGGAGCGTTCGTTGGCAGCCTGCATCAAACAGCCACCCGGCACACACAACTGTCGCCATAGTGAGGACGCTGGGGTCATCTGTGACTATGGTGAATCTCAGCACAGCTACCAAGAGGTGAAAGGTCAGTACGGTTTGTTTTTTCCTTACAATAAATGAATTTGTTCAACAAACATTTCCATCATGTCAAATACACTGAAAAACTAATGAGAAACAAATGGCTATAGAGAAGTTAGGAGGGAAGATTCTGAGAGAACTTCTGTGGGTGTGTGTGTTTCCAGATGGTAAAATGGAGAGAGCAATGTTATTTCTTCACCCTGTCTGTCACCCATCAGGGCGACTCACACAATGCTATCCGTTACCGACACATATGCTATTACTTCAATTTTTCTCATGCACATACTGGGGAAAGTCAAACCAATGCAGGAGAATGTTTTGTCTCTTCAGTATGATAAATGACCTCTTGTGAGAAATAGCTCAGTCTATGTTTGTATGTTTTAACACAAGATACACACAGACTATGAAAAAGATCTCTCATTTATTTTATTTACTTTATTTTTCAGGTTCATATGTAGAAGTAAAATATTAATTTGAAGCCGTATTCTTTTTTGGATCAGTCTAAATATTTAAAAAAGGCAACATCTGAGCTCAAATGTATGGTTTAACAATCATCACCCTCCTACACTCTCTCACATATACACACTCAATGGTTCCTCTTTTGTCTCTGTCAGATCCTGTCAACTCAATCTGTGGTTTGCGGCTTATACACACTCGCCAGAAACGAATTATAGGAGGAGAAAACTCTCTGAGGTAAGCTGGAAAGGACAGGAGGGATTCATGAGAGTGCATAGAATGCCAGCCAAAGACAAACTATATGTGCAAAATGTCAGTATTAAATGTATTTAATGTTTGTCATCTGCAACAATTTACTCTAAAGCAAAGCATGTGTGTGTGTGTGTGTGTGTGTGTGTGTGTGTGTGTGTGTGTGTGTGTGTGTGTGTGTGTGTGTGTGTGTGTGTGTGTGTGTGTGTGTGTGTGTTGTGTATGAAGAAGGGATAAACATGCTGGGATAAACATAGAGAAAAGCAACATGTATGCATCTTTGTGTGAGTGTGTGTGTGGTCACATGTATGCATTGGGCAGATGTAAAACCAAATAACTTTGGTACTGAGTATTTACACACTGAGTATTTATTTGTGTTTTAGTGGGTACGCATGTTTAGAATACATCGGGCGTGTTTACACTAGAAGTTCACACCAAATGTATTCTGGCATTTATGCTTATGTTTATAAAGAAATCCTATTTGTAATGTTCTGGATCACTTTTTAAGGTTGCACGTGGATGGCATACCCAATATGAAAGTGTTTTAATTGTTGCAATGTTGGCTCTTCTTAAGAGTTTTTTCACTTCTTACAAAAGTGTTTTAATGTGTTTTTGTGTGTGTGTGTGCTGTGTGTCTTTAGAGGGGGTTGGCCATGGCAGGCCGCGGTTCGGTTGCGAGGATCTCGTGGAGACGGGAGGTTGGTGTGTGGAGCGACTCTGATTGACAGCTGCTGGGTCCTCACATCGGCACACTGCTTCAAGAGGTCAAAAACACACACTGCCTATTCACTCATGTTTGTGTGTGTCACAATTTGAAATGGACATGCTATGTTACATTTTTAAAAAGCCAAGTATTGCAATGCAGAAGGTTCAGTATGAAGGCAAGGAAATAATGACTTACCTTTGTATATATATATATATACCAATATATATATATCTGTTTTTACGTGCCTCTCAAAACACAGGCCAAGCATCTCCCCCCCTCCCCCTTTTCCATGCACTCACAACACAGCGTTTCCTCCCGTCAGTGTCAGTGATTGGTTGAGAGTCTTTATTCATGTAATGTGGCTGTGCTTATGCATACATTTAACTCTGCCTTGAGCTCCAGTAGAACTACACAACTAATTGTCTGCTTCCCCTTGTATATTTACGTCTGGCAGAAGCATGAGAACCTCAACAATGTGAGCATTGATAAGTAGTGCTTTAGTTGTGGTTGTGGTGCAGTCGGCCGGGAGTCATCATGTTCACTTCATCTGGTCTAGTGACCTCCACATGGTACCACCACCTTGAAATCCATCACCTTATGAATACAGCAGAGAAGGCGGAAGAAAATAAAAAATGAGTAGAACAAAAAAAAATGTTGAAAATCTGATAAAGTTGCGGGTTGTGAGAGCACCAGCCCTAATGTCTGCATTTTATACATGTATGGCTGTCAGACTCCATTTTTAAGAGTAATATATTTTGGTTGCATTATGAAGTATGAGTCTCAATAATTGGGTTTGAGGAAACCAGAACTCTGTACAGGGCTCTGCAGCTCTACCACTATAAATCCAGATTGTTCCACATTAAAGAGAGGAAGTGGTCATTCACTAAATCCTTTCCAATACCATTTCTCCAGGCATCCCCAGGGCTCAATGGAGGGACGTCTACGCTGTGATCTGACTTGCACTTCTGCTTTGTTTAAATGACACACACAGGAAGCATACAGCTGAGCTTTATGCGGCAAATTTAGACCACTTGGGATGTAGCGGACATTTTTGTGATCCATTTTTACAATCACACAGACAGATCAAACAGAAAAGATAACCTCCATGGCAGAAGCAATACTGACTCTAAGCCCTTTCTAACATTGGTAAGTAATTTTATTGCACTATAGTGTAAGCACTACAGAAGCCATAATAGTTAGCCTTAAACATAACACCGTCAGATCCTTCTTGTGGTTGAGTGCCATAGTTTCCTTTGTGTAAGAGGGAATAAACTATAGGCTTTATCTGAAGCTAGTTGTTAGTATTGGCCAAAGTACCAGTGGATGTGCTCACACGCCTTCTGCACTTGGTCTTTCCGGTGACCTTCCAGTTGCCAAGCCAAGTCCCTATGGACTTCGCCACCACCGCCCTAATTATATTGAATGGAATATAATAATGTGTTGTAGCTTGTGGAATGAAATTGTCAGATTCAGACGGATGACACTCCTACAATAGTAACACCTTGCTGACTGCTGGAGATTGGCGCAACATAAGTACAACAACATGTACAGTTCAACACCTTCATATTGTAACAGTTAATGATTTACTATAGATTCTTATTGTGGCCCAAAGAAAACTCTAAGTGAACACCAACATAGAGCACACTGTATTAAAACACCACCGGGTTTATATTTTATATTTGAGCTGTACGTAAGATTTGTTATCATAGACACTGTAAGGAAACAAACAAGGTTAAAACACAATACCCCTGCTGCCTGATCACATATCAGTCTTTAGTACTCCAAGCTGTAAGCTTGGGCAATGACAGCTTTAAAACGTAATTTGCTCCGAGCAAGCCAGAGCATGTAGACGCAGATAGGAACTTCCGACTTAACAGTGTCACCTTTCTTACAGTAACCAAGATAGGGTGGTAAATAAAAAAGCACACACAGCAACAAAGAAATACACCTATGCAGTCACACAATCAACATAAAATACATAATTAAGTTGGCATACACACTCCTGCTTGTACTAATTTTGACACAAGCACCGATACTTTTATAATTACATGTTAATGTGCAACTACCAAGTGTAGCTAACATGATCATGTTTCCTTATCCCTCACACTACTATTACCGATTAGTGGCTTCATAAAAGAGTGACCTCAGGTCGGTGGTCACATGCTGTCAACATGATAAACCTATTTATACCTTGAAGCTGTACAGCTAGGGGCTTGCCAACAGTAACACAACTCCAGCAGATTTTTAACTGCTTTTAGCCACAACAACAATACTTGAAAAGTAACTGAGGTGTCACATTTAAAGTCCTTTCCTGAGATGTTGCCTTTATATTCGGTACTGTATGTAGATGAGTAGTCAGTAGTGTATCTGCTTTTTCAGGAACGTCATGGCATTCCCAGGTCAGGAGATCTTTCCGGAAACACTCCACCAGTTGTAACTGGACACAGAGACTTGGCTCGATCGAAAGGCATCTTCCTTTACACCTCTCCACTTCCCTCTCTTCTCTCCCTGCCTCTCCTTTTCCCCTGACTTACCCTACTTTACCTTTATTTAAAAAAGGCCAAACAGCTCAATTAAGTAAACAGAAAGCATGGAAAAGACTTCATTATGTCAACCTATGAGTCAGTTTAACGCATAAACACAAAGACACAATGACAGATGTGTTGTTATCATTCTTCCCTTTTTCATTTCTTAAGTTGTCCAAAAAGCTTTCAACTCTTTCTTAGTCATGGTTACGGCAGAGACCAAGACAGACCATCAACATATCGAAAACGTTGCAGGAAGAATATAATGCCTCAAACATAGGTTTCAATCTATTCTTCTATTAACTGCTGTAGTGCTGACTTTATGACTGTGTGAGCTCAGTTTAATGGCTTGTTCTTTTTCCAGATGTAGTTCAACTATTGATGATTTAACTCCAGTCAATGCTCGTTATTTATGTATCAGCAGTGGGATTGCTCATGCACACACATCCTCTTTCTTTAATGGTCCTTCTCGATCCTTTCCCTCTATTTCTCTCTGCAGATATGGAAACAGCACCAAGCAGTATAAAGTTAGAGTGGGCGACTACCACTCCCTTGTGCCTGAGGAATACGAAGAAGAGTACGGTGTTGATCAAATCGTCATCCACCCAAGCTACCGGTCCCAAAGCAACGATTACGACCTTGCCTTGGTTCGTCTGTCACCTGGGGCAGTGGGCCAGATGCCGGGAGAGTGTGTGTCATTCAGCCGTCATGTCCTTCCTGCCTGTCTGCCCATGAAGAAAGAGAGAGTGCTCAAACAAGCCAGCAACTGTCACATTACCGGCTGGGGAGATACAGGTGAGTGTGTGTGTGTGTGTGTGTGTGTGTGTGTGTGTGTGTGTGTGTGTGTGTGTGTACGTATACTTACGTATATGTATGACTAGTACGNGTGATAAGAGAAGAAAATAAAGTAAAAAGGCTTGGAAAAGCAGCAGAATATTTGAACTGCAAACTTCTGAACTAACTTGATGGCGAATGATCTGTCGCCATGGCTGGCGACAGATCATTCGCCATCAAGTTAGTTCAGAAGTTTGCAGTTCAAATATTCTGCTGCTTTTCCAAGCCTTTTTACTTTATTTTCTTCTCTTATCACATATTCAAGCCCCCAGTGTTCATGTATCATTTCAATCTAAATTCGCCACTTTCTTCTTACACATTTCATTTTAATCTAAATTCTTCACTTTCTTCTTACACATTACATTTCAGCATAGCAGTTTAGCGTCACATTTTCAGCATAAAGCATTCCCACTAGCAATTTTTTCAGGAATTGCATTCTCTAGTTTGATATGAGTTTTAGTGGCTTTATCAAGATATTGATTCCACTATCGTTTTATAAATTGCTTTATGATCCCTTTTCTTAAAATGTATTTTTATCTACCACCCACACATGCTAATAAAAGTTCTTTTCATGGACCAAAGTATGAATCTCATTGTGTTTTTGTGTGTTAGGATGAGCCGGAGGTGCAGCAGCCGGATGAAAACAACCCGTATGAAGAAGTGTACAAGGACTCCAGTACTTTCCTCAAGGTTTGAAAACCTGCTCTCTTTCTTTGTACACACTGGCTGCGTTCCAAGTCGCATACTTTTACTTATTACTTTTATTATGCATTGCGCCCGCCCTTACATACCATGTGCAGTATGCACGCAATGGGACCTATTACTTTACCGTAACACCATAAACGTCACAGGTGAACTAGATTTAGCTGCTATTTATGTCAACCAGCTGATAATGCTATTAGCTTTTGAATAATTTGCCACGCATTTGCGATTTAATGCGGGTATATGATGTTCTTTACAATGTGTTAGTTGGGAGAAATTGTCTCTTATACTGTAGGTTTAGTAATCTGCATTTTTATAATTGAAGATAGTTTTCTGTTCTTTTATCATGTTTAACTGCAATTACACTGTTTTTTGCGCAAAGAAAAAAAAGTACCTTTGAACCACTCAGCCATAGATACAGTATATATTAAAATATACAACCTTTTTAATGGGTTTATGTAATTCTCACTTTCAACACCATAATAATGATAATTAACATTAAAATAAAACATGGCCACATTTAAAGTGCCGGAGCGGCGTTCCGGTGCTCTCCGTCAGCACTACACCTCTGTCAGACATCACGAGATGACACGTTAGGCTTGTGCTGTCGTGTTCAAGGAACCAGACCGTGGCCAGGAAAAACTTGCTTGTTTAATTATTTTGCGGTCTAGATTTCTATAATCTTTTTTTTTTCGTGTGTTTATTAATTACCTCGAGGGCCGCATCAAATGGTCTCGCGGACCATATACGGCCCAGAGGCCGGAGGTTCCCCACCCCTGATTTAAAGGCTTGAATACACGTTTTTACAGTTTTTACAACTTACGTCATTCAGGATATTTACATTGCATTCATCCAATCATTCAGGACTTTTTAATGAACCTGACAATGGAATTATGCAACTTTGTGTGCAATGGAATGACACTCGCTGTTAAACCATGTTCATCTGTTCACACCAGATTATGTACAGCTGTATGGTTGTTGTTGTTGTTGTTGTTGTTGTTGGTGTGACGTATGTTGGTGTGACGTACAGTATGTCCCTATTGTGTTTCTCTGTTTATGCAGATATATTTTTCTTAATTTTCTTTTTTCCTTCTATTTGTTTTCAGGGTACTCAGAGTTTGAACCCACACAATGACTACTGTCAGCACTTTGTGGACACAGGGCACCGGCCCCAAAACTTCATTAGAGATGTTGGTGAGTGTGTGCTTCTGTGTGTTTCTTTATGTGCGTACATTTGTGTGGGCGTCTTACCTCGTTTTCCTCTGTGCTTCAGGCCTGGCTGACCGGTTTGAAGAATACCCAAAGCTTCGGGAGCTGATCAGACTGAAGGACGAACTCATCTCCACCACCAACACTCCTCCCATGTACGTTTAATGATGATGTGATTTTAAATATTTACCTTAATGTCAATGTGATAACACCCAGAGAACATATGTTGAATTAAGAAGACCAAGTCTAAGTTGGCCTTAACTATTTGGGAAGGTTTGCTCTTATAACTGAGAGGGTCTTTGTCTGTCTGTGTTTAGGTACCTCCAGGCTGAACCGGAGAACTTTGACCTGCAGGATTTGAAGTGCAAGTTTGATGTGATTCTGGTTGAGCCCCCCCTAGAGGAATACTACAGAGAATCAGGCACCAGCCACACTGAACAGTTCTGGAACTGGGATGATGTAAGTATGCATGTTACTCGTCTGCATTTAGCAGTTAGGGCTAGGGATGTAACGATACCAAAAACTCACGGTACGATAATATCGCGATTAAAAAGTCCACGGTACGATATTTATCGCGATATTGAAAAATAAAGAAAAAACATTTGATTTTTTTTTTCTGTAATTTAAAAAAAGAAAAAAAGAATAATATTTGTACATCATTTTAGTAGGATAGTAGTATTTTAAAGTGTCGACAATATAATAATTAGACCGTGCAATAGAATAAATCAAGTTTCACTTTAGTTTTTCAAGTAACTCAACTCTAAGCCCCTTTCACACCAACGCGTTTTCAGGGCCGGCTCGGAGCAAGAGCCTGAAAAGTACCTGTTTTTCCTCTTCACACCGCAGCGGCGCCGCCTCTTAGCTCCGGAATCCGGTTTGTTTCCAGCTCCAAAAAATTGTCGGTCTAGCTTTTTCGATGTGAGGGATTTAGCTAAGAGGCGGCGCCGCGTACGTCTCTCTACGTCGAGGCGTGCAGGAAACTAAACCCACCTCCCCTGAACATGGGTTGACTGAAGAGTCTCGTCATGCCTGCCTACAAGAAGTGGTGCTGAGCAAAGTGACTAGAAGGCAACCACACACTTATAAAAAAAAACACACTTTATAAAGTCAGGCAACACTAACCAGGCTTCGTGTGATTCTGTTTATTTGTACCTTACTTTGACCATCCGTTCACTGTTATTGATCATTGTGGAGAGCAGGCAGACGTTTTATTTTGTATTATAGCAGCTATCGGATGGAATCAATACATGGGCTGCACAGGTTGTGCTGTCGGACTATCACAAGTAGAATCATAATGAAAAGGTAAAATGTGCCTGTAGAACACGGCTTATGCCACAATAGGATAGCAACAATTAGTCAAGTTAGTCAGATTAGCTTCGGTTGCTATGCTAACTTCACCCATTGTATACCAGAGACTTTCATAACAGCTTGTGATGCCAAACAGCGTCAATTCAGACTGACACACATTCACTTAAGGGGAACTGGGGATATGTATCAGCTGCTTGTGTGACAGTCAGACAGTGAATACTTT